ATACACTTTAGACATCGAAAAAAAAAAAAAAAAACTAAATGTTTTTGTGACTCCTATCAACCAAGTATCTTCTGTTTGAGATTTTTGTTGTTGTGGAAAGTGTTTTTTTTGTCACTCCCAGTTTATATAGTATTAATAAATATAATTTCCCATTTTATTCTCTAATAGACCCTCCTTTTATTGTTTTTTGGAAAAAAAAATTTCTTAACAATAAAGTCCAATCAACGTATCCTAAACTCATTAGCCTCGTCTTGTTATCGGTTGGTTGTGAAAAGCAGTGATTAAGTGGAGTAATAAAACCAGCAGACAGGAGCCACAAGCTGACGCTTAGTTTGGCTGCAAATGATCAACAAAGACAAACTGATGAAGCTTTTCAGGCTGGCTGTCATCTTTTATATGCTGATAATAAAGCCATCAGGCGGACACAGGCGGTGTGGCGTTAACAGCTGAACACGCTGCTCACCATCTGCTCCTGTGTGCTCCTCTTAGCCTCACTGAAGGCCTGCTGTAGCATGCTGAGCAGCGCTTCTGATTCCTGGACTCTCTGCATGAGGGCAGATACCTGTGAAGAGAAATCAAAACACAAGCGACTGCTAATTTAGACTCATAAAACCTATAAATAGAGAGGTTATGAAACATAAACAAAGAATAGCTGGCATGTTTTTGGCAATAAAAAGGTTCTGTTCTTATAGTTCACTTAAAAACAGGAAGCTAATATGGATCACAATGTTGGTGGATTATTGTTGCAAAATGAACACAAACTGTTTTCTTGGAGAAATCTGTCAATAGGACAACTCTAAGTAGGCACTCTTTACCACAGGTGTAGTTCACCTGTACTGAAATACAGGCTGAATGAGTTGGCAAAATAACTTTTAAATCCATGGGTAGGGTGCCAGATCAGTAAGTCTCCAGGTTAGTCCCCTGGGACTGCATTTCACCTTTGCTGTCAGTACTTTTGTGTTGGATATGCACTGAGGCACAATGCTTTGACAACTTTCAGCTGTCATGTTTGCGCCATTATGAAAATGAACACGTCTATCATCAGCTATAACCCTGAACACAACTGATAAAGATGTAAAAATGAGTAGAAATTCCCTTAAAATGAATGCTTTTTCATAAACTGCAGATTGTGATCTTTGCAATCTTAGTGTTCTTTGCTGTTTGTCCTGTGCAGGTTTTGCACAGCAGAACCTGCAGAATATGAGCCAGAGGTTTGTGGCTTACCACAGCTCTATCACCCATCTTAAATTAACTTCTCACTAACAACTGACAAAACACATGCTATTATCAAGTCTTTGGTTTGGTTAATTTTTGCTGTATAAAATTGCAATGAAATGCAGATACATCTGCAGATTCTTATTTCTCTCTTGATTTCCTTTTCCACATCAGAGAGAGCAGCAACAGAATGTTTTTGGCGTTGGAAATTAACTCAAAACAAAGCAGAATCTGTAAAATCCTTCGTCACAGACAACCAGTTGGCCTGATGGTTGTTCTCGAGAGATATTAGCAAGAAATGCAGATAATATCAGCTGCTCTCATCCTGTTTTGCAGCTGCTTTCTTCCCACTGTGACACCTACAGCTCTCTGATGTGAGAAAAGTTATTCAAGATGTCTTGCATTTTCTTCAGAGATAATGCTGAGATGTGTTTTGTTACATTCTCATTACAAATAACTGTTTGTCCTTTTCTGCTTATCTGCCAACTAAGGCTTCAACTAACTGATTTAATTATACAAATGATAGGAAAATTCCTACAAGGTGTGTTGGACGAATAATGTTTTTTCACCTTTCACAGTCAACATTTATTTGTTTTCAGTTGAATTCTACGTGGGTGAAATTATTTCAATAATCGTTTCATTAGATTTATAGGATACATACCTTAGCATCAGTTTCCTCATTTCCTACTTTTATTGATTCTTCTAGACTCTGTTTCTCCATCATCGTCCTTTCCAGCTGATCGTTAGCCTGACGCAGCATGGCCTGCAGCTTCTTCACCTGTAAGAAAATAACTGTCAAACTATGCAGTCTTCTCCAACACAAAGCATCTCAGTTGATTTAAACAAATGCTTCTTTAAAATAAACAATAGATTAGGTCACAAAATATGATGACTTCATAAAAAGAAATGTATAAATCTGGATTTTCTTTGTGAAAGCAGAGAAGAGTACCTGGTCTCGTGTTTCAGCCTCCTGTCCTTGAATGGCCTGTAGCTGCTTCTCATAGTTGGAGCACATGTCGCAGCGTCGGCCAAGCTTCCTGCCAGCGTTTTTTACCTGGTTCAACAAAAACATGACAACAAAATGTTCATGAATGATCATCAGTTCAGATCAGCACTCAGTATATCTGGAGTTCCTCAAGGCTACGTTCTGAGCCCTCTCATCTTTTATTGAACAAAAGCATCTTTTCTTTTACAATTTGACCTTGTCCACTTCCCCATAAATATTCAGTGACTTTACAGCTTCCTCTGGACTAAATAAACTACATGAAATCACTGATTACATCCAGATGAAGTCAATGTCACTGAAATGAAACATAAAACTGTGGACAGCCAGTGGTAACCGTTGTTAGAAATCACAAATATTTGAGACCTCTTTTTAAAAAGCTTGAAACTACCTATATAGTTCAAACACCAAACAGTCCCTCCTGTATTCAGCAATTCCACACGGAAATTCACCAAAGAAAATAAAATAAAATAAAAAAATCAGGAGACTGCCGCATTTTTTCACACAAATACAAAATTGTGAGCTTAATGCAAATCTTTTGCAAAACTTGTCAAAAAATATTGGGTTGAAGTGATTGTAGACTCCCACCTGCAGGTGTCAGCTTCCCAAGATGCATTTATATATATTTTTTCTTTTTTTTCCTCAATATGCTTTACGGAAAAACAGAAAAAAGGCAAATAGATGAATTTCCACCAATAATTTGGAACATTATGACACCAAAAAGTTCCAAGAGTTATTAATCTATTTTTTAATCACTCCTAATATTTTTCTGAGAAAACAAAAATCTGAATATTTATCTTTTTTTGAAGTTCATATTGGGAAAATTACATAAAACTCAACAAAACCAATTTTGTTGAGATTTCATGAACTATCAGAGATTTAGTTATCATTCCATATAATTTGGAATTATGTTCCAAAACAGGAATGAATGTGGAATAAGAGAGGGTTCGCTGCACTAGTAGGAAGTAAACTGGGGACTTAAAGCACAGAAAACCTATCTGTGCACCTCTTGCTGCAGCAGGTTCCACTCTGTGTCGCTGACGAGTCGGTAGCCGGATGGTGGTAAGTAGGCGGTGTCCGGAGCGTGGGAGATGCTGGACAGCAGCGACGCCGTCTCCTCCTGCTCCGGCGTCATGGCTTTTATCGCTTTCTCCTGGTCCTTAGTCAGCAGGAAGTGGCCCGCCGTCAGCTTGATGGAGCTGATGGACGAGGTCTCACCAAAACTACTGTCTGTGACGCCGCAGTCGGCCCCCACCAGGGGCCCAAAGTCCGATTCGTCCAGGTTGCTGGCCGACTTCGCCTTGTGGTTGTGTCCGCCGAGTCCCTGCTGCGAAGACAGTGAGGACCCGAGGCTGTCGGTCGACTGGACCCTTCGTAGGTTGTCCTTGTAGGGATCCGAAGGGCCGCCGGCAACAATGTCAGTGTCTAAGGAGTGAATGGAGCCATGAGCGCTGTGGTTGATCGGAGGCTGACAGAGAAAACAAAGAAATAAGAGTTTAGAGGAAAGAAAAATTTTAGTTTAAGTAAAAAAAACAGAGATTTTAAAGCAAAGCTAGAGAAAATATTTTTTAGGAAACCTTTTTAAGTGCTACTGAAGGTAAATAGGAACAATGTGACACCAAGAATGAGCTCTTTAAATCTAACTAAACTGCTGCTAGCAATGGCCCCCCAAGTCAACGTTTACATTCGCAGGTGGAAATGGCTGCAAACAGATTGGCAATTATAGAACCACACATCTTTGAAAAGCAGACGTGACGCCTTCTGCAGAACCAATAACAATGCAGCAAGTAGTTCCTGGATGGTAAATCAACAACAAAACATTTGTATTTTCCATCAGTCGTTATACAGCGGATACAGTGGTAAAACCTGTTGACCAAATGTGTTGGAGCTCAGTTTGGATTGCTAGATAACACAGTGTCCTCTATTGTGACTTAAAAATCTGGAGGTTTTTGAAACGGCTCGTCTTCCAAACACCACAAAAAAATAAACATATCGCCAAAAAACAGTGTTAGCTTTTTTATCATTTGGGATGTTTTCAGAAACAGTAGAAACTCAAATGGAAGAATAAAAACATGCAAAATTTGAGTTTTGCAAAATTTCTGTTAATACATCAATCAAAACGAAATAATTTTGTATTTTAAAAAATTATTTTGAAATGAATTTTATTTATTTAATTTTGTCCCTTTTAACACTGCATAAAGATCTGAAAGCAGACTTGAGTAGTATTTCCCACTATGATACAGTGTCTATTAATAAGTTACCTCGAACTATAAACTACAACCCAAACAAGTCTGAGAAAAAAAATGCAGCTTCAGCAAGAAGTAGTTATTTACAGCATAAGTTCATTGTCACATGCGTCAGCTGAAGAATTCAACTTAATTCGCAGTGCTTTTGCCCTTTTTCAAACTCAGGGAGTCACAATGATTTTCAGTTTCTCTGCAGAACCGTTACTAAGACCAATTTTCTTTCTTGGTTTGTGTACATCCTACCAGAGGGATGTTATGGTTGCTCAACAGTTGCTGCAGAGTCATCTTTTATGCTGAGAAATTAGGCAGAAGTGACCACAAATACCACAAAATTGATACAAGGGTCGCGATTGGTCACAGTGAAACTGGGTTAAAAGGTTTTCAAGATTTTGAGGACTTCAAATAGTCTTTTGAAAAAAAAAAATGAAACAACTGATCTAGAGCCAGAGATTAACTTTTAAAAAGAAAATTTTATGGTTTTAATCCAAAGTTTCAGCTAATTAAAACAATGGCGACAAAAAACTGTAAAATTTCCCAGATGTCTCATATATTTATAATCTGAATGTAAATCACAATGACTATTCTCTTTTGTGTTTGTGTCAATAAAAACATCCCAATTTTTTTCCTTTGCTCCTTTCATTTGTTCCACTTTTGATCCATATTTATATAAAACCAGTGGAGACAAAGAATCGTAAAAAGACGTTTTCATTTTAAAGCAGCGAAGAACCAAACACGTGAGGTCAGGGCGTGAAGGTGAAGAAGCTCACATTTCCACCAGGGAACAGAACGATAAGCAACACTAAGACAAGCTGCTGTGCGTCACGGGGACGGATCAGATGACATGACGTACCTCCTCAATGCTCAGTCCCAGAAAGTCCTCCAGAGGCTCAGTGTTGTCTCCTCCATCGTCCTCCTGCAGGTCCTTCACCAGACTCAGCCTCTCTTTCTCATCCTCCTCCTGAGAAAAGAGACAGATATTAATCAGAATTTGTCCCATTTTCCTGGCCCTCCCAGCAATAATCTCACTAAGTGGTGCCTTTATTAGATAAACTAATCTGATATGATCTGGTCATCACCCTGGACAAATTCTGCTATCAAAGATAATAACATTAGGAGATGCTGAGGGGGTTTTATGTTACTAAATAATGCATATTGTTCTCACAGTCCTTCTCTTTCCATTGGATAGAAGATTTACAGAGTGTATTTTATTTTTTAAGAGTTGATGGAACTAGGTGTTTTTATCTTTAATATAAAATGAATACATTTTTTTAATAGTTCTTCAAAGAGTTTTTGTAGACAGTGATGGCTATCAAAAAAATATCAAATCTGAATATAGAAAAAATAAAGTAATTGAAAGATGACAAAATATGTCTTAAATGACCTCAAACTGAGAATCAAAACAGCAAGTAAATGAACAGAAAGACCTCGACTTGTACACAGAACAGCCTCAAGGCCTCATGTGTTCAGCATGGAGGTCCTGGCCTCTTGCATGTTCCCAAAAGCAGCACCATGTCTGCTGGGAAATGAGCTCCATTAAACCCCTCAAGGTGCCCTGTGGTATCAGAGCACTAGAAGAAAATCCTTTTAGACCCAGAAGCTGTAGGTTAGATGGATCCAGTTCATCCCTCCACTCCCAGTGCAGCTGGTTTATGACTCCTCTCGACTCGGATTTCAGTGGCCGTAAAGCTTTCCTCATGGAAAAGCCCCCAAACTCAGGGTTCCCGCAACATTTTTTTCATGTCAAAATTCCCTCGATTTTTCCTGAGTCAGTTTCCAGCAGTGGAAGTTTTAACGTAATTAATGCCCAGAGTGTCCAAACATTTTGCAAAATACTCAGGTTGAAAGCACTTACTAAATAAAAACTCAAACATTTCTTGAGACATTTTTCTTAATCTTCTCAATAATAAAAAGAACATCCAAGATTTTAATTAAAGGAAAAAGATGCCAAATTCTTTTGGCAGAAAAGGAACGGAGAATGGTGGCATCATGTTGGAGCAGCTCTGAGAGTTCTGAAAAAGAGGCTTTATGAACCATGGATAGTGATTTAAAGAAGAGTGGCAAAAGCAAATCAGGTGGATTCATCTGGGATGTGTTAATGTTAAATATCATATCTGCTGCCCAGACACTGAGCTGTCAGCATGTCAGGATAGTAAAGTCAGATCATCCCAGCCATCCCTTATGGTGTGTAGCACTGGGCAGCAGTGGGAAGAACAGGATGCTAACAGATGGGTATGTCCCCTAAAATGTAATGTATATTGTTGGTTTCATAAATATGTTTTTATGATGTAAAGCACTTTGAACTGCCTTGTTGCTGAAATGTGCTATACAAATAAACTTGACTTGACTTAACACTGGTGTAAAAAGTAAACTTTTGGAAATTCAAATATCTTTTTCAACACTGACAAATTTCTGACTTTTCCAAACTACAGATACATTGCATATGTCATTGTTACATTGGGAAATTTCATGAATGTGCACAATGCTGGGGGGCAAAAACACTATTCCTATACTTGCCATGCAAAAAAAATGAAACTCAGAGATAAATGTATCACTTAGTGCAGTGTGCCACAGTAAAGGGAAAATAACATAGAAAACCATAGAAGAATAACTCAAAAACCACTCATACTCTTCCTTTTTCTCACTCTCTGCATCAGCTATATGTCAAAGACTTGTTGCCATAGCAACTGGCTGACAACAAGTAACATAAAAATAATAATAATAATAAAAAAAATATTATGCAAACATGATCTTGTTCTTTCCAACACAAAGAACCGATCATTCAGTCCATTGCAGTTTTATGTTTTCAGGTTAGATGTTTATTTTGTGATTATTAATAAGTGATAGTCTGAACCCAGCAGTGGCTGATTAGCTAATTTAAACCCCTGCTCTACTGATCAACTATCAAGGACTTTGATTGTGGCTCCCCATTTTTTTTTTTTAACTGAACCAAACCAGCAAATTCCGCAGCAGATGTACATATTAAGATTGTCAAAGTCAAGCTAGCATAATTGACCTATTTCCCTCTCCCACGCCATTTTATTTTTATTAAAACTTTTCACTGTGAAATGGAATACCCTTGGACCTTGTTATCTCGTTGTCATAATACTGACAATTAGCAGCAAAGCCCTGCATGCCTTTTTCTTTTCCATATCACTATTACATTTAAGATTTAGCATGCTATGTTGGCAACTTGACAGCTACAACCAATGGTAGTCAGTGAGCAGCTTTTTAACCTTCAGCATAGAGCTGGCGGAGGGATCTTGCGCGTGACATAATTTTTCAATGTGTTTATCGAGGAGCATTTTTTCATCATTTACGACTTCCAACCTCATTTGGAAAGAAAAAGTTAAACCATCCATTAAACGAAGCTCAAGGGAAGGCTGAAACATCTACAGCAAAACGATGAGTGACCACTGCTGTACCTGGTCCTTCTTCTTCATCTCCTCTACCTGGCGGAGTTGTTCGGAGGACAGCACACTCTCTATCCTCTGCATGTCCCTCATCAGGAGGCGCTGGGACTCCAGGAACTGGTCGTTGGCCCGCTGCCACGTCTGCTTCAGCTGGTTGTGCTGCTGCCGCTCCAACTCCAGTTTGTGACACACTGTGAGACACAGAGGAGAGAACCATCAGCTGCATCTTCAACCTTAACCACATTCCTAGAGTTTCACATGTTAAAGAGAAACAACAATCATGAGAAATGTATTTGCCTATGTTTCTGAATATGTATAACCTAGTCTACAGAGACTTTTCTGGCCACAAAAATCTAAAGCAATTCTCCAAATTCCAGAAAGGAATGAGCTAACATGTTAGCAGGCATACTGTTCAGTCTCAAATTCTCTATTTAACGAATCTACTACACACATTTTCTACTTCTAAGCTTTCTTTTAACCAAAAGGCTTCCTCTGGAAGCCCTGAAACAAACCATCATGGAGCTCTTTGCGTAGTTTCTCTGCATCTTCCTGCAGCACAGACTTCTGCGTGTTCAGCACAGCCACATACATCTCCAGGTCCGTACGACACGACTTCTCAGCCTCCAGAACGTGATTCAGCTCCTTCACCTACCAAAACATAAATAAATATATCCAAGTCAAATAAATTCAACCACAGCTTCTAATCTGGAAAATAAAACAAATGTTGCATTTAATGGTGAAGGCTTTCCAGAAAAGAAGCCAAAACTCTTTTTAAAATGATTTCAGACTATCATTATCAAGGTTTTCTGAAGGTCCTGGGCTTAAAACAAATATAATGTTAGGCTCTTTGTAATGTATTTTTAGTTGAACTGAAATGAATAGTACTTCTCTTAAAGAAAGGACTATCGTAAGCTAAATCTAAAGAAATGATAGGAAAGGTTGCAGCAGCATGATACAGATCATAGAACTGGAGCTAACATATATTTTCTAAAATTAATCAAATATGTTTCTTACAGCCACACACACAAAAAAAAACTGCCATCATTTAAAAACCAAATATTCCTGACTGACCTTGGACGCCTCCAGCTCTTTCACCCTGTCCTCGGCGCTGCTCAGCTTGGCCTTCAGCGCTGTGATCTCCTGCTCCATGGGCATCACCACGGAGCGCAGCTTCTCTGCATCCTCCTGAGCCTGAAACAAGCCACCCATTTTCAAACTCAGACCACTAAAAAAGATATAGTATTAGGGCCGTTGTAAATAGAAAAAAACAAAAACAAAAGGAGTACATTTCTACCATACTACTCAGAAAGTTTGAGAATAATCACAGACAATTTCTAGAAAAAACATGTACATTTCTGAGCTCGAAAAGTCAAAACTTTGCAAGAACAACTTTTTTAAAGAACCAGACTTGTGTCTATTTATGTATTCTATTTTAAATTTAAAAATAAACCACAAGTCAGAGTTCTTAGGAGCGAAAGTTCTCAGAGTGAGGGCTTGTTATCTACCTTCTTCATTTCATCCTCCAGGTTCTCCTCCTCCTGTCCCTCTGTGAGGCGGCGCCTCAAATCGCCCAGCTCCCTCTCCATGGCCTCTCGGTACTGGTTCCACTGGGCTCGCTCCTGCTCCAGGCGCTGGTGAAACTGGACCTCGTATTCACACACTGTGTCTGCAAGATAGAAAACAAAAAGAAACATGTTTAGATGTAAAAAGTGAAACAACAGAAACATTAACAGTTCTGTTATTAAGTGCAGACTTAACCTGTATTCTTTGAACTAATGATAAAATAGAATTGTAATAAAAATAATACATTGTAACCACAGTTCACTTTTTGTTTCCGCATCAAAGTCTGATTGAAAAATTCACACCTTCCCAATACAAGCTCTTATAATAATTAACAAGTTCAATTAATCAAACAATTAAAGGGGCTATATTTGACCAACAGAGGCTGAGTTTACCTTTCATGATGGCCTGCAGCGAGGCCACCTCCTCCTGCCATTGGCTGCGGACTTGGTCGATGGCTTCCTGCTTGGTGTTTTCCGACACAGTGGCCACAGCTTTGATGGTCTCGATCTCGGCCTGAGCCTGAGACAGCTGGGTCTGTACGGTGCTCAGCTCGCTTTGGGAGTTCTCCAGGGCCTCAGTTTGTCTTTTGAGTTCCTCTGGGGGAACCAGGCGGATCAGACAAGACACAAATGAGCAAAAATCCAAGACAAATGGGGTTAAACAGACAGAACAGAATTAAAAACATTTGTATTCCCTTTCACATGCATCTTCAGGAACTATGGAAGAGGGTTAGGGTCACTGAAAAAAAGGAGTTGTGACTTCTGATTTCAGAAGATTAAAAAAAATTTAATCAGAATAGCATTTTTTTTTATTGGCCCTAATCCTCTTTCATTAGAAACCCTTATTCGGCACAGAAAAATGTACTTCTACCCCGTCTTCAAGTTCCTGATCCTTGGTGCTTCCTTGTTAATGATTTATGAAGTGAAACTAGTTTCACTATCTTGGGATACCTACGTTCCTTGGTCAGGTACATCTCTTTGAATTTGGCTCTCTTCTGGTTGAACTCGGCCTCCAGCTGCTGCTTGAGCCGGATGAACTCGGCCCTCTCCTGCTCCAGAGCCGCCACACGCTGCTGAAGCACCTCTGGAAGACGAGAGAAGGAAACAAACACACAACAATTCGTCAGCTGCAGATTGCATGTAACCAGAGAGGATGGAGCAAAACAGAGAAAAACAGTGTACTGTTTAATTACAACAGTTTTAGACAGCATAATCAACACGACAACAAATCAAAAAGTTGTGAAAATACGGTTGCTTAACTAGAAAAATCAATAAATTATTCTTATAAGATAGCAAACTCTCTTTTAGACAAATTTGCAGCTCTAGCAAAACAGGTCAGTTAAATTTTAAGTGAAAAAATGCCACCGAATATTTTCCATTAATTTCAAAATAAAGACAATGGCTGTCTTTGCTGCCATCCTGATTTTATATTACACACAAAAAAAAACATAATTTACAGAATCTAAAACCTCAGCAGAGAAACGCAGAGAAAACCAAATACATTATTTATCACACTTTAAAGCTTGAATTTTTATAGAGTTGAATGAGAAAAAGCATTATTAGTGTCTTTCCTGTCAATCAGATGTTAAATCGAATAGTCGATTAATAGTTTATCAAATTAAAATTAGTTCCAATCGATTAACTAACAACACGTGCTCAGACCTTCACCTTTAGTGTTGCAGTTTGGCCACCATCCAGCAGAAGGCGCCGCTGGTCACCCATACTTAAGTGGACCCAATTGATACAGAATTAAAGATGGTGGCAGTATCCCACAATAGGAAACTGACCTTGTCCACAAAAAGTCAGTTGTGGGATTCAAACTACATTTTTATCCGATTGTTTTTAAATATAGACCCTCGACGAACTTGTTAAGTTTCACCATAGAGTTATATCACATTTTCACAGTCGACAGAAAAGCCTGCGGTCCTCCTCCCATCTAGAAGTGTTTCACATATTTTATTCTTTTCATCTTTTTTTTTTTTTCCCTTAAGGATTCTGTTGTGCTGTATTTTAGAAATATGTCTAAATTGAACAATTTTCTGTTTATTCGGTCAGTATCTAACAATGTAGACTCAAAGAAATGCTAACTGAGGTAACAGAGGAATGTCTGCTTATCAATTAATCTTTAGTTGATCAATCAAATGAATTGACCATTTTCCTGAAAGAAACAAAGACATTCAATGAAGCATAACAGCAGAGCTCCTTTAGGGTAAACATGCAGGAAGCCCTTTGATTGTATCACCATAATGTACTCACTACAAAATATCATCATGACTTTTCACCCCTAAGGTCTTCCTAACTGGACTCACATCTGCAAATCAAACAGTAATAAATATTAATCTTGTAATTGATCTGAATGAGAGATGTTAAAACATCTATAAAAAGAGACATGTTTTAGCTTCAGTCCTAAACTAGAGCAGAGACTGTGTCCTCTCCTAACCAACCTGACAACACATTCAGTCACAGGTTTTTCCTACTGCAAGAGTGGCTCATACCTGTTTAATTCCTGTCACTTAAAACCAGCAGGACGAGCAGGGAGACAGCAACATTCTCACATGCACACAGACAAATGGAAACATTTACGAGCCACAAGCAGCAGATAGGTGCAGAGTGACTCTGCTGGTCATGTGATAGCTGAGCAAACTCCAACATGGGATTTTTACATCGATTCCTTGTGAATTCAAGCACATAGTTAAATTCTGCTGCCCTAAGCAGTAACAGCAACTAAAATGCATTAAAAAACTACCAAATAAAACAAAAACATTAACTAGCCAAGACCACAAAATCCAGCAATCTACTGTCTACTAAACAAGGACTTAAGTAGATTGGAGCGACTAAAACCAAATTAGTTAAAGTTTTTTAATCCAGTGAAATATTGTTAGTATAAAAAAAACCACAATATTTAGTCAAGCATTGAAATTCAAAAGGTCAGCACCAGTGATGCTATTTCTCCTTCCTCATCATGTTAGGAAATGTTCCGTCCACTTTAAAATGCAGAATAAAGGTTGTGGGTTCAAATCTGAGGCCTTTCTGTGTGGAATGTGGATTCGCTCTGGGTACTCTGGCTTCCTCTCACAATCCAAAAACATAACTGTAACTCTAAACTACCTTTAGCTGTGATTTTCTGTCTTGACCTGTGATGAACTGGCAATGCTATCAAGATTAATAGCATATACATTTTCACATAGGACTAGCGTTGTCCCTTAATGGACAAAAAACTTCTTTTTTGTACTCAAAAATAGCTGGATGGTTGGAAACATTTAAATGCGAAACCAAAAAATTGTAACTGGGGTAAATAAAGATAAAAATGACATTAAGGTCAATCTTATAACCGTTTCAGTCAGGGGTTACTTTTTAATTTTGGAAAAAATAAGGAAATTACAAATCACAAAGAGGAACACCAGGAATCAGTACAAGTAAACACTGAGTTTAACGCTAAAGTAAAGTGTCTAAGACTGGCACATTTATAACAGAATCAGCTTTCTTGGCCAGATTTCTGTGCACAAACAAAGAATTGACATTGCAATAGTAATGTCAAATATTGAAAATCTGTCAGACATGAGCACAAAGCACAGGGAAATTCGAAACAAGTGACCAAATGTAATATTTGCAATCAGACCTTTTATGCAAGGCATGTGAAATTCTGCAACACTTTCCACCCACAAAGCAAAAAATGTAAGAACTTTATGACCCTGTGTCCTTGTTGTACAAGCAGCTAAAAAGAGCTATAACAGTAAGATAATCATTATCAACAGCCAATTTATTAACCAATTTTATAAATTCCAGGCCTGTTTTTCTATGTTTTTTATGCTATTTTTTTTAATGCATGTGCTTTTTGTTCGAATATTTTGGTTATCTTCTCAATTCGATCTTAAGTCCTCTCACACTTCCATACAGGCAACCATATCTTAAGGAACTGCGACTCAAGCCTATCTACTACACTTAGCATACAATCAGTCCATTATTGATACAATATTGATACTGAAATGATATTCTACTCTTTATGCAGCCCTACTTATGACTGTCGCATTATTTTCGTTATCTAGATGAGGTTAGACACATTTCTAAGGGTATGTTTCGCAACATTAGCAGTTTGGAAGCAAAATGTTGTTCATCCCTCCATCAAAATTGAGAATGAATCGCAATCGTAGAGCATTGGATGCATTTAAGAAATTCAGTTTGGCTAAAATTATGAAAAATTCAATGATTAACTTTATTATTAGTGACATCGATAACATAACCACTTCTTACTCAAATGTAGAAAAGTTGCCTGTCTTGCAAAACAAATACAATGTGCAGGTGAATTTGTCAGCCTAACATGCAAGTCCAATCCTACATACTCAGAACTTTACATCTTGCTCATATGATCCACAAGAACTGTATGGCAGGCTTAAAATTCAGGATCAGAACCGACATTTAGATCAAACTGGTCTAAGTAGATAAAGCTCACAGTTAAACAGCAACTAGAGAGTGGTGGTACACAGAAATTAACGTTATTCTTCTGGGTTTATAGGTTGGAAAAAAATTGACAATAAAACACCTGTTGTGTCAGTTAAACGTTTAGTAACACTGAAATTGCTAATGTGATGTTCGTAAGAGCACACAGTGGGTGGTAGTAAATGTTCAATAAGAGCCAGTGACACGTCGCACTGGTGATGCTAACTGGCTAATGTTGTCAAGGATGCAGAGGCCGCTGCCTTCGGGTCTGTCAACCGTCAACACTCCCCCCTACACCCGCCACCCGAGAAGGCCGTCAAACACAGGACAGTTACCGTCATGTTGGGACGACAGAGGGGAACCCTCGGCCTCCTCGGCCATGGTTTCCTGAGAGAAGCTTCAGACAGTGAACACAGAGGTGGGAAACAGCTAGGAGCGCCCAAGAAAACAAGCTAACATCCCAACCAGCTGTGAAGCTAGACGTGAAGGAAGGGAAGAGTTTCTGGTTAGAGTTTCAAAATAAAGCCGATTTATTTTGCTTTGAGTACACTTAATAAAAACCTTCGCATATTTACATTTGATAAAGCACCAATTAACAAAAATGAATTCAGACAATGTTTTAAATGTCTCTAATAATCGTAAGGTATGCATTTTTAGGATATTTGCAGAGTCAGTGCTTTGTTTTGAAGGAAACAAGAGCATTTCCTGTGAATCATGATGTTTTTACTTTCCATAGACCGAGAAGTACACACCCGCGGGCTCCGTAGAAAAGCGCAGACTGCACGCTTATCTACGCCGTGGAAAAGATGCGTCATCTCGTCGGGCATGTTGTGAGTGGCATGTTGTCTTTGGAACTCTGTCCAAAAACAAAATAGCTTCTAATAAAGCACATTTTAATTTCAAAATAATTTTGCTAATTTTTGTGTCAAAATTAATATTTGGAAATCAAAATAGGTCAGTACAATCAATGATAAACCAAAATCGTATAAAATTTAATCTCAGAAATAAACCATAAAAATACATAATTGTATTTAATTATAAAACCTAAGACATTTTTAGTCCAACTACTTTGTCCCCATGCTGATCTCAATAATCACAATAACAACATCAACAACAACAATAATAATAATAACAACAACAACAACAACAATAATAATAATAATAATAATAATAATAATAATAATAATAATAATAATAATAATAATGTTTATGATGTGGTTATTATTATCATAATTTTTGTTGTTGTTATTGTTGTTGTAAATGGTTATTGTAACATTTTTTGTCATTTCATTTTCTAAGATTAGTTTTGCCCTCAGTTCAATGCTGTAAACCGATGTGTCGTAGGTTTTTTGAATTTCTTATTCTGTGACTCACTACATGTGAAAAAAATAGGTGTTCATGATACTTATGACACATTCTGCTTATGAATCTTCTGTATATTTTTATATTTGAGTAAAGCTACATGGCTCTTCCTGGTGTCTTGGCTTCTTTGGACTTTCCCATTGTTTTAAACCAGAAATCAATTAACTCCAAGAGGGACATTAAAATACATGTGACTCTTTTTCAAATGTATCAGTTAATCTTTCAGACGTTTGTGAAAGGAAACCCAAAATATTTGACCCAGTTATCCCAGATTTTGACCAAATGTGTGTAAACTTCTGTATTTCAAATAAAAATTTGTGGTGTCCACAGTTTGTTTTGTGGCCCCTGACCACAATACCTTTGTATTGAAACAAACAACTACAACTTGTGCCTCCAAGTGCATTCCACTTAACAATTTAGGCACCTTTTGGCAAAACGTTTGGATATTACCAGTTTACAGCATTCAACTATTTAAACAAAGCTGGTCGCAGGGCTTTTTGCATGTGTCTCAATAAAAAATGCCTTCATAATATGTTGCTGATAACGACACATGATCTGGTTGCTCAACTTGAATAAAAATTAGGTTTATTCATCAAAAATCCATAAAACTATGTGATGATCTGAAACATGTGACTTATAGTAAATATGTGCATAACACTGCTTAATCTGATTCTGACCACAGAGAAAGGTGTTACAAAAGGAACTGAAACTTCAAATGGCTCAGATGTGTATGACTTTTCCCTTCCTTTTCCCTCCCATTTTTGTCTCTCTTTGTTGGAGACATATCCATGCATTTATTTTGAAAATTTTATGTTTAAGTACAAAGAGGCGTGAAGCCCTCTGTACAGATATTTTACCCTTCTGTGACTGTCAGACACGCTGACCCCACAAGCTGGGTTCAGCGGAGCATGGCAGAGTGTCAGCCTGCAGGTTTCTTCACTGTGACGGAGAAAATGAGAAGCTGCTATGCAAAGTTTCTGCACATGATGACTGCTGCCGAAATATGCCACCCACTTTCATCTTCAGTTCTCTGAGCCTGACGCCCGGTTCTGACCCAGCCTCGGATCTATCAACTGTTTGCTCAAAAGGTAGGATGCATTATTGTATTTGGGGGGATTTTTTAGCTAAAACCTTAACATATTACATCAGCCTAGTAGCATAATTGCCTATGTCCTATTTGAAAAAATTTACATTTGATTTCACAAGAGCAAATACAGAGAAATCTAAATATGTCTCCTTAACCTAACCGTGAACAAGCACTGTGTGTTCTTGGAAGCGATCAGGAAGTTGTTGAGAACAGAAAATGTGGGGAGAAAAGATAAATGAGGGGGAAAAATGGCATTGTCATGGAAACATTAAGCGGAAACATGTTTCCAGATGGAATCAACTGTTAAATTAAAAACTGCCTCCTGCTTTTATGTTAAAATATAAACTTTTTAGCTGGTTTTTAGCTCAACCAGCTAAAAAAAAAATCTATGAGCATTTTTCTTTCTTTTTTGCTGGCTGTGCATGAGGTGGACTTCCTCACAAAAACAGTCCCTAGAGGTACCAGGAGGCTTGCTTGAGTCTCTCAATTCAGATGCTGAGACCAAAATAACTTAAAGACTTAGTCAACGCTGAAAAAGAGGAAGTGGTGAATGATTGTCTTTCCGATCCACAGCCTTGTATACTGAAAAGCAACAGAAGGAAACCAGTTAACTAAGAGTGTCTTTTTTAAAGTTTTTTTATTTCTTTGTGGTGTTCGGCAGAGATGCGATGGCTATTTTACGCAAATACATCTGGGTGCTGGTGCTACTGGGGATGTTTTTTGTGTCACTGGTGATCAGCCTCATCTTCATCCTCGTCAACAAGTGTATTATTTCCAGAAAAGGTGAGCTGAGATATTTTTTTAGCTATTTTCTGTTGTTCCCTCAAGATATTTGAATTTTTTTTAAAAAAGTGTTTTTTTTGTGTGGTTTTTTGGAGGGCTTTCTGACATCATATCCAGCATAGTGACAGAAAAATAGAATAAATATCTCAATGACGTGTACTTTTCTTAATCCAGTCAAAAAAAGGTGGTTGTTTCTTACACAACAATAGGAAACATTGAATGATAATCCCATTTTAATCCTAGATAATGCCAAGTGTTGCTTTTAAGGTCTTTCCATTCTTTTGTTTATCTTTAGGTTCGTTTTGTTCTTTGTGGTTTAGCTTTATTATTTCCCCATTAATTTGCTCATCTGAAAGCATTTATCTGCATCCAGCTTCAATCTCCACTTAAATTTCTGGATTAAAATAGAATGGAACAAAATAGACAAAAAAGATAGCAGGGTCGATCAGTTGATCATTGTTTGGATCAACCGATAAATAGTTGGATGGCAGCAGGTGCTTTGTAGGATTTTTTTAAAAATTAAATCTGGAGCTAAAAGTTCTACTTGATGAGTTCTAGGTTAACATAATTTCAGACAAAGAAGGTTTTTTTCATTTAAAATGCAAAATGTGAATATTTTTTGTACATTTTGTACTTCTACTCTGAGTAAGTTTTTCTTTTGTCAGATTGCCTTTTCTTTGAGTCTGTATACTCCAGTTAATGATTAATCATTTACTTAATTAGTTTTTTTAATAATCATTTCATCATGAGTAATCCGATTATTCATTTCTACGCTAGAAAAGAATAAAAATTTGTTTTTTGTCCCAATGAGGCAAAATGTAATCCCAACAGCAGCTAGGTGACAGGCAATCAAAGCGCAAAGATGCAAAAAATTATATAAGATACATAAAAACAGAATAAAGAATAAATACTGTTCATTAAGGGCAAAATCTCAACATAAATATTGTGCCATTATTAGAATTAGCCAACTCCAATCCAATGGAATGTACAACTGGATGGGTTAATCTGCAAACCTTTACATTTCAGCAGTTTACGTTAAAAGACAATAAAACGATACAACAGCAGAGATGTGCACTACTGAAACGTTATTTAAAATGAGTAAAAATGGCACAAATACCAGCGGGGCATTCCAGTCATAAAGTCTTACTAGATTAATTATATCGTCTATTGTTGTCCCATAATCACTTGTCAAAAATACATTCAGCGATTAAACTTTTGTCTGCATTCTGGTTTTATGTTAAAAACCTCAAAACATAACAAGTAGTGGCCATTAACAAGATCTGTGATAAGAGCTTATTGTGTCTCTTCCGAATTTACATAGAATTCTGATTTAGACGCACAAACTGGTTTCAGAAAATAAATGTTCCAGATTAGTCACCCAGCTTTATGTTGGTCCCATATGAATGTTGCCTGGACTGGTCATTTCTTACCCATTGTCATGATTTGTTGTTATGAAGGTGGTGAGGCAGACACAGTAACCCAGGTTATGGTGACAGAATAATGATTTAATAATAAATAAGGCAAACAATCCAGGCAGCACAGATGAGTAATACCAACTGGTACTTCATCCAGGCAGCACAGACAGGAGATAGCAACAATTCTCATACTGGTATGAGAATACCAGTATGTCTAGGTTGTCCACTGTCTAGACAACCTAGACAGTGGACAAGATGACAAAACGAAGACCCAACAAGGCACACATGTGGATTTAAATACACAGGGAGACAATCAGGGCAAACAGGGAACAGGTGTACTCAGTTAAGGGCTAGTCAAGACAACAGACACTCAACAGAACACAGAAACCTAAATAAACACACATAAAAACCAAATCCTCACACCCATGTGGGCCTCATGTGTGATCATCAACTGTGATCAGTCTGATTTATGGATATGAAACCCAGTTGTGCAACTTTTTCAATCCAAAGAGAAGTTTTTGTTCTCACTCTGGAAAATTAAAACTCCTTTTGATCTCCTTTTTGATGTCCATGGTGCAACACTCAACTATTACCATACATAATTATTCTAAATATTTCAGTGGTTTCATTCTTGTTGAGTTTTTGTTCCATCTAATTATGAAGCAAGTTTGGAGTTTTGGGTTCACTGAGTAACTCTGACTGTTGTTCTGAGTCTTTAGTGACGAACTTAATTTTTGAGGAAATTTGTGGTTTCAGTTGCTGCAACTTTGCAAAGCAAAGTTTCACACACTGGAAACTAAAAGTAAATTTAGAGTTCAACAAATATGCATCTTCATTTGACCTTGTTTGGCCAGAGCTCAGGCTCCGTTTGCTACTTCAGCTTTATTTTAAAATGCAGATCATTATTCTGCTTATGGGAGCTGCAGATAGTTTTATCTATATTATTTACCAGACAGTTAAAAGTATATGGAGTGTGTTTCCAACATTTGTAAATATAGGGATTAAAATAGTGAAAAATTACATTTAGAAAGAACATTGAAAGAAGTAACTTGCATAAGGGGAAGATCTAAATAGTAAAAATAACACATTGTAGCCAAATAAGTGCATGGATCTGGCAGTAAACAGTAAAAAGTTTTTCATAATATTTTAGATTTGTTTATAGTGATCAGATATTTCAGCTCATAATTTAAAATATTTTCTTTGTCAAAAAAGAAAAAGACTCAAGTTTCACTGTATTCATCATGACCAAAATGATCCTTTATCCTAATTTTAGAGCATTAATTTAATCAGAACAGAAATGGTCCCCCCCAAAAAACGAAAAAGAAATAACGGAAAAAAATGAACAGTTTTTATCAAAAGTTGGCCTGAAATTTAAGGGAAAAAGGTTAGAGGTTCACTAGGATGAGCCACCATCAGGTAGCACTGGTCTAGAACTTGGTACCCAGCTTATCAGATTTGGGTTTTTCAATAAAATGCCATGTATTTGCAAATAAAATTCTAAAAACTTTGAGTCATCATAACCTCTTATGACTGTCACATCTGCTTGCAAGTTCAGCTTCATGTGAAAAAGCTGCAGGGTGGACAGCAAAAATTATCATTCTGCTTTATAACTTCCTCACAAAGTTATTATAATATCAGATAAGATCATTAAGTGTATAAATTGTGCAAATGCACCCCGTTCTACCTTCTACAGATTAAACTTATTTCCTGTGCAAGCAGACAAAAAAGAGAATAAAAGTATAATCCATCCTCATTTCCCTACATTCCTTTAAAACAAGAGAAACAGTTCTTGACTTTTAATAAATATTCCCTTATATGTAGTCTATGTTTGACTTTTTAAAATCAACAAATCATAAAAAGAGGATGAACATGGTGTCTAAAGTATGGTGGAGGGTGTGTGGGGATGTGGGCCTGTTTGTTTTTCCACTTATTAGATTCAGAATATTAGGATATTTTAAAAGACAAATTGAAAGCATCTACCAGAAAACTAAAAAAGTGATCTCAAACTGATATTTTATTCTGACAAAAATCTTACCAAGTATTTTCGTCCAGTTTCTACTGCAAATATCGTAGTGTACTTCAAATAACACAAAACTAAATTATAAGTAAAGTTTCAGCAAGTTACATAAGCTGTTTTGAAGTCAATAATTCTTTACTATTGAGGAAAAAGAACTAGTTTCACTAGCAGATTTCCCATTTACATGGGAAAAATGTCTCATTATAAGTGAAATAATCTGCCAATTGTGTAAGGACTTTTTAATCAATGTTAAAGAATTATTGACTTCAAACAAGCTCTTACATCCCGATGAAAAGTTACTTGTAAGTTTGATTTTGTCTTATTTTAAGTGTATGAAGATATGGTAGAAACTAAACCAAAAATTCTTAAGTAAGATTTTGTGCTTTTGCTGTAAAGTGCGACTACAATAAAAGATGAATTTATTAAATTAGCTCTAAACTTCCTTACCAGAATTTCCAACAAATTTGTGTCCATCTGTAATAAAAGCATGTGTGACCAATCACAGACGAGAAACGTTTTTAACATGTTAACACGGTATAACTGTTGCTGATTTCCTGTCTGTTTACTGGTAAATAAACCTTAAAATAAGAAGTGGGCAAAGTTTCCTCTTCACTCAAAACAGCCTCTGGGTGTTTAGAAGACCTGAAAACCCAGAACTAGTTCTTTTTCTGCCACACATGAGAGTCCTGAGCAGGAAATGGGAAACCAAACATCATTACTACCATCACAAATACTTCTGAGGTCTTCAACCCCATAGAGAAGTTATTATAATTGTATGAAATGCTATTATTAGAGGCACCCTGTGGATTTGATCGGCTCAGATGAAACTTTAATGATCCCTGTGGCGTTGCTGCAGCAGCAGCAAAGCAAGGCTTTGCTCCGCTTTGGAGAGATAAACTCAGAGTAAACAAATGCAACAAAAGACTGTGCTTTATGAATAATATTAGTACATTTTGAGAGAAAATGTGAAATGTTTCATGAATAAAAATGAAAACAGGAAAATCTTCGAGTTTGTTTTAACAATGATTATAATTCCAGTGTAACATTTAATTTATTGCTATTTTGTCCCATTTAAGCTCTTTAACTTTAATTTACTTTGGTAATAGTGTTTTATTGTTTCTATTGTCGACTTTCATCTTTTTTATATTCTGAATGTTTATTTATGTACTGCTACAGCATTTTGTTGCAGATGTTGTTGCTTAAAAGTGCTTTATAACTAAAATAGTAGTGGTTGTAGAAGTTTATTTTTAATTATTAATGTTTGGACTCTTAAGAAAATAACACATATCAGCCTCTTCCAGTCTGCTACAATGATGTGAATTGTATTAATGTTATTTGTCTACATTTCTACAGCATTAAATAACTTGAAATAATTTTTACTTCTTTCTTTCAGCAGGCAAACACCGAATTTTACAGCTTCAGGACAGGCCTGACGTCAAAATTGAGTAAAGTCTTTTCATACGTATGCTCTTAGTTTCTCTGAATAGTAAAATCACATCCTGATTTGAGGCATCCTAAAAACAGCAACAGCTTTTTGAAGTATCAATCTAAGGACTAAAACAAACTAAAAGATTTTTATAAGCAGACACTGATTGGCCAAACACTTAAACACCTTGCCCTGCAATATATTTCCAATAAAAATGCTAAAGAAAATCTCCCTGTCTTGAAGATGTGGGTTATTTAAATGAAGTAAAGTATTTATTTACTGCTGAAAATTGACCATTTTTGCAGGCCGGTGACAAATCTCACCATGTGTCTGTAATAGGAGAAATGATGTGACCCAACAGAGCTCTATTCCCCTCTGAAGTAAACTGCTGAACCCAGCAGCTTGAACAGCACAACATGTCTGAAGTAGATGGTAGGAAACTTGAGGCTATTTTAGTGAAGTGCAATAAATAAACAGTAACCAAGCCACAAGCTGAGTTATGACCCTGTTCAGAATTATTAGTTCTTCGATGTTTGTTTATGCTTTCTAGTTTATTTTAATTACCGAACCGATAGAACTCGTACATATTCGCATTTTGTTCTTGTTAATTTAGGAACTACCATCAAGGAGAGTTGAAAATATATGCGTTGTGCATTTTCCAGACTTTTATTTGTAAACATTTTTGAAACAATATGGATTTTTTTTTTCTTCCAGTTATACACAAGTTGGTGTTGATTCATCATATAAAATCCCTATAAATAGATTGTGGTTAGAAAAATTACAATACTGGAAAAATCTTATGTGCCATGAATTCAAATCCAAGTTTTTGCACACCCTGTACAAACTGAACAAGCACACGGACTGGTCAGACCATGCTAACTACGCTTCAGAGTTGAAAGATGGGCCTCGAAATGTTATGCATCTAATTACTGAAGAAACATTTTACAAATAGATTTTAATGAGACACTGGGAGCTCCAATTGAAAAGCTTTTCACTGCAGCTGCCATGTATTTCTCATTGTGCAACTGCTACATTGTTCTTGTGGTTTGCGTTGGCAATGAGGTTACTACTTCTCCAACTTATGAAAGAGAGTTCTGCTTGACTACTTAACCAAAATTATTCAAACTTCTAATGCAAATACAACATACTTATTGTTCATGATTATTTCATCGCCTTTTCTGATAAAGCCCATGGATGTTGCCTGTATTTTCATGCTTTTCACTCATCTAAAGCAGAATTCTTTCAGAATGTTAGTTCAAAGAAATTAACTTCAATGTTTCTTTGTTCTCAAACCTTTTCAGGAGCAACAAATATCAGCTGACAAAATCTGGCCTGGCCACGCCTCCTCTTCCTCCTCGGACACAGTTTCTCACAGCAGGTAAAGCTCATTTTCCTACCCGTACATTTTATGGACAGAAATCGGAAGCTGGCACAAACTGTTTTGCAGAAACTGAAAAAGAGAGTGGTGCCGTATGACAGCTGACCTATTTAACAATAAACTTTGAACACCACGCAGATGGAGAAAGCCACATATTCACTTTCAGTCAAGCATTCTGAAGCCAAGTTCCTTTTAATTTAAGCCACACAGACATGTCAGTTATCTGAAATCCCAAGTGTGAGTGACATTATAAATTAGAGTTTTGTGCTTATTTTCTGGGCTTCAGTGAGGTTGACTAAAATGAACAGAACAAAGTGAATTAAAAGATGTTGAATTGAACACTGCAGATACTTTCAGAGTAACTCTTATATGAATATGTTCGCTAATTTAAAACCCATAAAAAATAACTTTGAAAAATCTGTATTGAACTAACTTTAAACTTATGTTCTCAATTCTCCTGGAAGCTTGAATGTGACATAACTACACAAATAAGATTTTGAGACATGTAGAGTTTATTTACAGTCCTGGATTCTCTGAGTTTAAAGAATAAAAATAACTTATATTGTAGCTTTGTAGCCCAAAGCTACAATATATTAATAAAAACGTATAATTTAGCAGCCTAAGCCGAGCTCCAGCATGTTTATTCAGCTGGTTTCACTGCAGGCGCTGTACAATGGCTGCTGGAAAAGACACGTGTTTTGTTGTTGACTTGCCATCCAGAAACCACTTGCCGCATTCTTGTTGGTTGTGCAGGAGGCTCCACTTCTGCTTTTTAAGGATGTATGGTTCAACAATTTCACATTTGTTTGCAGGCATTTGCTCTTGTGAGTGTAAACGTTGACTTGGGGGGCATTGCTAGCAGCAGTTTAGTTAGACTTAAAAAGCTCATTCTTCACATTGTTCCTATTTAGCTTCAGTAGCACTTAAAAAGGTTTCTAAAACAACATTTTCTCTAGCTTTGCTTTAAAATCTCGTTTTTTTTTTTTTACTTAAACTATAAATTTTTCTTTCCTCATTTTCTCTTGTGTACACATTGTGTTGAGGAGGCAGCAGCTCATAATGAAAGGAGCTCAAAATAGGCAGAACTGAGCAGATTAAAATCTCACAATCTAAGAATGATTTTGTGCAACAAATGTGAAAAACATGTTTTGATTTGCCCATAGATCAGTCCAAACTTGTTCAAGGAAGCATTATAAGTCACTATCAGCAATCTGCTGGTCACCTTTAGATAATAGGTCAACTAACCAAGTTGATTTGTGTTCTGTAATTCTCAATATGTGAGAAGAAACTGTCTAAAAAGAAAGTATTTTGTTTCAGAGGCCCAAAGCTATGAGAACCTGGCCGAGGAATGTGAGCATGACGATCAGAGTGACCACGACTACGAGGAGGCCCTGGACCAGAACCTCGACTGCGTGAAGGTGCAGGAAAATCTGCTCTGCAATCATCCAAACACAAACTCTGGAGTTTCAGTCGCCCAGAGCTACGAGAACCTGGCTGAGGAGAATGACTACGAGGAGAGTGTGGATCCACTGCCGGACTACATCAAAGTGGAGGATGAAACCGAGTTTCTTCCCCCTCCTCTCTGCGATTTGGATCCAAATATGACATGCAATGGTTCTTTGGGTCAGAGCTACGAAAATCTGGCCGATGAGAATGAGTACGAGGAGAGCATGGAGCAGCAGTTGGACTATGTGACGGTGGAGGATGAGTTCACTCCTCATCAGAACAACGAAGCGAAGGACAACGCCTCCACTGCTTCCACCGAGGACTATGACGACATTGGAGGAGAAGATGAGGACGACTATGACGATGTTGCATAAGATCAATATTTTAAAAAAAGGACAAAGACTTTTTTCCAACCTTCCTGCTGAGCAGAGCTTTCACAGATTTCTTATGTTTCTCATCTTTGCTTATTTTTCACATGTTTTAAAAAGCAGAACGGCTGGAGATAACGGTTCGCTTGTTGGACATTCAGTTCTACTTTTTGATTCCTACACAACTTATTTACTGATAATTTCCAGATTTGTTTATCGATAGGTCTTTCAACCATTTTTGATTTGAAACCTTGTGAACTTTTTTATTTTATTTTCAAAATAAAACGTGTAATTTTATGTTTGCAAACTGCACTGCATCACATAAATGTGATTGTGTTTACGGTAGGCTAACTTTGTCATGATTTGTGGTTGAAGAGGTGAGGATGGAAGCCGAGGACCCAGGTATAGTGCAATAATGAGGATTTTTAATGGAAGTCCAAACCAACAGAGCAGAATCCAGGCAGCACAGGTGAACAGTAAGGCTAAGAGCTCAGACACTGGCAGCAACCGGTTTCACAGCGAGACACAGAGCAAGAGACACAGGTGAGAATGAATACACAGATGGTAATCAGGGGGAACGAGGGACGGCTGGGGACAATCAAGGGTTAGACAGGACAACACAGAGACTCAATTAACAGAAAATGACACAGAAACCTAAATTAGCACAGAGAAATAAACATTAGTGTCTCTGCTGTAATACGCAGAGCAGAGATGAATACATACAAAAAATGTGAACAATGATAACACTAAATAATAATAACAATAAAAAAATTAATAAAATAATTAAAGAATTGCTTTATTTTCAAATTAATATTTACAAAATAAATACAAGAAGCCTATTCATAAAAAAGAAAAGAACTGTGTTTGGTATTTTATTAAATTGATTTTATAAAGCTGTAGTTATTTTTTTTCTCTGTGCATACTGTCAATAAGGTTAACAATATTGAATAATCAATAAATTGGAACTCTTTGGTTTTAATCACCATGCCCTTCCCAGGAATTGCACAAAAAAACAACATAACTAAATCAACATTTTTTCCTTAAAAGTCAGATGCATGTTAGTTCCCAATAATACTGATAAAACCCAAATCATATGAGGGATTGGAACTCACTTTTAAACACAACCAATTCATAAGCTCTACTAAATGCTTTGAAACTATTTTCAATTTATGCAGAAAAATAGATTTTAATAATGTAAAATTAAGAAATTAAGAAAATTAAGAGTTGGAAATACAGCTTGAGGTGAGATGTACATGTTTGCAAAAACAGTGTGAACCACTGTGTGTAACTTATCTCAGAATGCCAGCATTAAAACTTTCTTTATTTACTTTTCTAGGTTACATCGACTTAAATATTAAAAACTCTTGATAAGTCACATCAATAAAGAAGATGAAGTGAAGAAGCCTTTCTGAAAATGTCATACTGGAGCTCGAGAGAAGCTTTGTTTGTTAAAGAACTGTGAAAGTGGATTTTTCTTTAGATTGCTGTGTGTAGACTGTAGATAACTAAAGCATTTGAAAACTAAATCCTCCCAAACTACATTTTACAACTCCCCAAACTGCAATGAAGTAAATCTCCCTGACATGAGCTTCCTCTTCAGACTAAAAATTGCACCGTTCAGACAGATTTAGTGTTTTATTCATAAGCCGAGGGAATAGCCCAAAATGTAAGTGAAATATTTCTGATGAATATAGTCGAAAACAAAAAAAGTGGTGGTAAAGCAAAAGGAATAAATTTCCACCAATAAAAAAAACTAATACTTTTTGAGGATAATCTCAGAAATGTTCAAACTAAGAAATCTTCAGGGGTTTTTTCAAAAAACTTTCTGAGATTGAAAATTTACTCCTTTTTTAACTGTTTATCATGGCCTTATACACCATTGTAGTACTTGTGTTTAACAGACTAAGTGATAAAAACCTCAGTAAAAATGCAGAACAAACATTTATCATGACAACAAACATTCTGATTGTGTTCATCTTCCCCATATAATTTTTTTTTAATTTGGGGAAGATTAATTTCCCTCCAGTGACAGATTACATATTAAGTGCTGATCGATAGTTTTGTATGTGATTTATTTCCAACAAGAACATGGAGGAGAATGATTGTATAAAAGTTGCTAGATTTATCGCTAGTCGCTTAAAAAATGTATTTACTTGTTTTAAAAAGGTCTCTATGTTGTCTAGAAAAGTTGCTAAATATAGCAACAAAGTGGATAACTTCGCATTTTAGCCCAGCCACTTAACCCTAAACTCCCCCTGCCCTCATTAATTATTGGCTCTGCCCATTTTTGGTTGAATTTACCCTTAAAGCTGAACTGTGAATATATTTGACCTTTTATGGTAGAAACTTTTAGAGTGTTTTTATTAGCCTGAACTACTCCTACACATTTATGTTGTCATCGTTTACTCAAGATGAATAATCTCTATTTCTTTGATATCGAGGATGGACAGGAAGTAGTAAACACAAAGCATATATTCCATTTAGCGTTATTTGACCTTATTATGCATCTAAGAGTAAGAATCGTTTATCCATGATATTAAACAATAATATTCATGAAATTAGTTTCAGAATCAAAAATCTGTCTCACTGTTTGGGCCCTAATGAAGGAAATAAAAATATCATCATATAGTAATTGAACTTATTCAAACATTTTACTCTTGACTAGAAAGAACTTTGTCTTCAAGAAATGTTACTACGGTATCAGCAATAATATCAAGTATCAAATATTTTTGATACTTGATATTCAGTATCAGTGTCAGTATCAAGTTGAAGATTTTAGTATTGTGGAAACCCTAGTTTGTGTACATTCCTATATTTTTTACACAAATAAATATATAAAGACCATAAAAATCCAGTTGGTTTTCCTTAGTTTTTCTTCACTGATCTTTTGATAGTTTCTATTCCATTTAAACATGTCTGACCATGTCAACATCCTTTATTATGCCTTTTTTTGAAGAGCAAAAAAAAAAAAAAACAAACAATGGAGATGCTTTGTTGTTGACTTCCACCTCTTATCATTTATCTTAATCTTTCAATTCACTTGTCACTGCTGAAAAAGCCTTTCAGGTGTGAGGGAAACCAGAGGATCAAAGAAGTACTAACTTCACTATTATTTGCTATTTTAAAAATGATGTTAGGCTATAGGTATTGGCTTCATCCACTCATAAAACAGTATGTAACTTGGTTCTTAATTTGAAGGGACCACTCAAGCAAAAACACATGTAATTTTAGGTCTCTACTCATGATTGTATTCAATTGTTAGACGTAAAGAACAAGGTACTTTCCATTTTTAACAGATCCATCATCACTCTGTTCTTCAGTCCACAGGAAAGAAGAGGAGCTTTGTTTCCTCAAGCCAAAGTTTACGGGAAAAACCAGCGTTTAGTAGCAAATGTGGGGGTTTGAGAATCCTGGAGCCAAGACAAAGTCTAAACAAGTTTGGAGGTCAGAAGAACTTCAAGAAATGGTTAAACAGAAGAGGATTTCTAGAAACACACAGTTGGCATATCCTGGGGAAAACCAAACTGTTGCTCAGATTCCTCTTTCAACAGAGTGCAACAAATGATATTAAATGCTTGCTCTCAGTAGAAAAGAGAATCTCTTCTATGTTGCTTTTTCTTGCTGAATCATTGTCAGAGAATGGTTAATCCCCCAAAAGGTTACAAGGGAAACTTTTCAGTTGGAATTATTATGGATTAAAATGATTAATTTCAGTAGGATTACAAAAACATTGTTGCCTGTGTTTCTGACTTAGGGATGTGCTGCGAAAGAAACACACAGAAGGAAATAATGCACAAAATATGACTCTGAAAAGCAGAAGAACCTAAGCATGAAAAGCATAAAATAGTGATGAGAACAAAAAGTTACTTGGTGAAAATAGATCCAAAATTACGAGTTGTCTTGGGCGCCCCCTAGTGGCTGCTTGTCCCTCATCTGATTCCAACACTAAATATTATTGTAATGCGAAATAAAACACAATAAACGACATATTAAAAATAAAATAAAATGGAATGAAAACAAAACACTAAAACAGCCGTGAACCATTACTCTTCTGACCTACATAAAGTGACTTTCCCCCTCACAAACCACATAATAATAGCATCTCAGCCATAATTTACTGCAATAGTCATACACTTTAACCATGTAGTTTGTTTAAATGAGTGGCTGTTCACTGGAGCCAACCCTGGAGTCTGAAAAATAGATTATTTAGAAAGATCTGATATCTTTAACACTGTTTATCACTATGACGCTTTTGTAAACATATATTCTTCCTACTAAGTAAATATTTACCATTCACAACATCAGATTTAATTGGAACAAAATTATATAATCAGATGATGAACAATATAAACTGACATACAAATTCTGCTATTTTATCTCTGGATTTGGATGTCTGAACCGCAAAGTAAAATCTCCAGGCTGTGTTAAGTTTTGGTCTTGGGATATCTGAATGTTTTTTCTTTAATTTGTTCCACTTTGGATGATTTTGGATAATGAGATATATTTTGTAGAATCTGAATCTGAAAAAAAAAATCAAAAGTGAAAAACAAAAACTCCATGTCCCCAATTTAGCTTCGTACAAATCGAACGCAGAACGATCAGGAAAGCTTTTATTTTGGAAAGGTCTACAGGAAGAGTTGTGGTTTTGCAGTTTGACGCCGCGTGCGGGCGCCTCGCATTCCAATGCCATCGAGATGTGAGCAGAGTGCGGCGGGACTTCGCTGCGACCCAACGCGTCTCTCCGTCTCCCAGGCGCAGTTTGTAAGGGTCAAAATGTCCAACTCTAAGGAAGGGAACTCCTGTCCCGACGGCTATCGGGCTTTAAGCTCTACTGAACTCAGGGAGCTTTTACACAGCGACGACAAAATGGACCAAATTATTCGACTCAATGAGAAGGTAGGCATCTTCTGTTACACGCTCAAAGTACCGCTAAATTCATCCGCCAATTATCCTGCTCTACCACTTCTGATAACCGTTTGAAATGTAAATTATGTGTAATAACTGAAGTCAAAATAAACGTGTGTTTTGGGTGAGCAGTTCATGTGAAGCAGATATGTGATGGCTCATCGATTGTCTGCGTGGCGAGCGGTCAGATTTCCAATTCGTGTTTTCCCCCCAAGCCTTCCCCACTCACACCATATGTAAGGCTTTAAGTTTTGATCCAATCGTCACATTTCTGCTCTTTGAATGCGTGTTATTGTGTTTTGGCCCCTCTGTTGGAGGAAGCATCAGATGCAGTGCTGAGCCCCCATGCAGCGCCGCTCTGCTCTGCTCTGCGCTGCTCTTTGTGGTTTGCATTGATTCACACATTGAAGGGTAGGAGGGTTTCTTCACATTACATATTCACTGGACGTCACAAATCACAGGAAAAAATCCAACTCATACTTCTTCAAATCGCTCATGTTTGTTACGTTTTTATTGTTTTATTCCTCATATGTTTCCACCTTAATAAATAAGGATAATTACAATGATTAAAGCGGTTAGCTTGACTTTTCACTAAAATCAAGCCACTTCCCTTTGAAATCATCGACACCAAAACAACAACCTGTCATGGTCAGTTTTTCAGTTTGTTTTTCTGATGTGTTGTCAATTGTTGGCTGATCATGATAAAATCAGCCTCTGTGCAGGCGTGTCTCTGATGACATCACAGAAGGTGGTTCTTTTGAGTTCTTCAATTTGAGTTTTTCTTTATGTTGTCTTTATTTTCATGCTTTAAATCAGTGAGGTTGACCTTTTCTCAAGTCCTTCGCTGCATTTGATTGGCTTGTATTTGACTCAATACATGGGAGGTCCTAGGCGGGGTCCAACAGGGGCCAGGACCCCCTGTTGTCATGTCTGAAAAGATGCTGCTAACTCAGTTTCTTATGATGATATGTCCTGACTCAGAATCAATAACTAATTTTTAAATTTGTTGGATAAATTAAATTTTGTTTCCTTCTCACTTTTTAACAATAAATCAAAAATTAAGGTGTTTCAATTTGAGCTTCATATTTTTAGCTTGAGACTCAAACACAATTTGAATCTTTCATGATCTGAAAAATCGCTTAAAATTTTTGCACCTCTTGTGATGTCAGTGATGCATCTCGGCCCAGAGGAGAATTAGCATGTTTGTTTCCTCAGCTTTTATGAAAGAACTTTTTATTTTGTCAAACCCCATATTTGATTGCTCAGCTGTTTTTGTTGTAGTGGACATTCAGTTTGCGAGTTAAAAAACCCCACTGGATAGCATCTTTAATTTATTTAAATTTAATATCACTCAGAATAACCTCTTAACCACAGCTGCTGCTCCTCTAACCCTTGACCTTTCCTTAAACCCTGTCTTTATATTAAAAATTCATAACCACTGCTACGGTCGCTTTTCCTCCCGTATTAACACGGGACTGTATTAATACATTTATGTCCCCTGCAGCACCGGGAATGCAAACACACACTCACACACATGAACACAACTTAGTGTGCCAACCAGGGGGGTCCGAAACCTTTTCAAAAGCTCTGTTTGTGAGATTTTTTTCTTTAGTTTTTTTTTTTCTGTGGACAATAAAAAGCATTCAGGAGGCTGGGTGTTCCATAGCTATGGGTGTGCAAGTGAAACATAAACCAGCGTGGGTTTAGTCATCCTGCAGTCAGTCGTTTGAATGACTGGGGGGGATATTAGATTAGAGAATTAAGAAATGAGTTTTAAAATCCTTGAACTGGACCTTTAGCTGTGTGACCATCATGTCCCAAAGAAGGTAAAAGCTGAATAATGTTGGATTTAGCTCAGAAAATTAAAAACACATTTATTTTGGCAATATAATCAGGTTTAAAGATTTGAAATTTAAAACCCTGGGATGAAGGAGATTAAATAGTTGAATTTCTGACTCAGAGCTGCTTGAGCCTTCGGCTGCGTTAGTCAGAGTCAACAGAAGTGGTAATTAATGTGCTATTAATACCCAATACAGAGCTTGTGTGGATTGGATAATCTCAGCGATTATAGCCTGAATCACTGCAGGTGGATGCATGAAAACATAAACAGCTTCTCACTTCACTAAATATGTACTATTAAACTTCTACAGTTTAATAGTTGGTTTTAGATACTTGATTTCAATGGTGTATTTTAGTGTTTCCATTGTGTGCGTCGATTGCTTTCCGTAACTTTATTTTGCTACATTTGTAAATTGAAAGGAAAGCTGTTGCTATTTTCTTAAGTGATGAGTCTACATGGCTTTTTAACCATGGACAATCCTAATCCGGACCTTGTGTGTAACATTTCTCATCCCGTCTCTCTGCTCAAAATTGCGCTGCCTTGACAAGTTTGTGTTAATTATTATTATTAAGTAAACCGCTTGGCTTAATCTCAGGAAATGAATGTGAATCATGACTGCTGCAGTCTGCCTGATGCAGTATAACTCCTTACTGGAGATGCATCAGATGACATTTGTCTCAGCCAGTTAAAAGTCTGCGATGAGTTAATTTCCAAGAATGGCAATAGAGAGGATTGAAACTTGTTATGGGAAGTTGTGTGTTGTTAATAAAACACTGGATAACTTAAGGGTGTTTTCACACTTGACAGTCCAGTAGAGTCAAACTACCAACATTTGTTATATTTTCAGCTGCTCCAGCTCTTTTTCTCACTGCACTTGGTGTTCACATGTGCATGTCAAACCAACCAAACCCTTTGAAAACCTGTTCTCCTCCTCACCTATGGGGGCGCTACACTAAGAATGACTGAAGGAAACAACAGAAAAACCTCTGCTTAAAACACTGAGCACAACTCCTTATTCTTGTAAATTTGAACAAGAATGGAGTGGCATCAGATTTTAGCAGTTGCAATGTTTCTCTTTTGTCTTTGGCTAAAAACCACTATCCACTTCTTTCATTAGCAGGAGACTTTCCATTTGTTTTGGTTGTATTTACCCAGAATGCCCTCCGCTACAATCTGCTTCCTGCTTTTGGAGTGGTCTCTAGTCTGCTTGGTGCTCACATATGCATTCAAATCACCAGAGTTCACTACAACCGAACTGAGACAGAGGTCTGCAGGTGGACCAGAGTTCACTTTGGTCCGCCTGCAGTCCTCTACATCTCTAAATATTACAGATTCAAATCTTCTAGTGATTTGATTCTGACTTTTAGGGTCACACTTGAATTTATTTTTTATTCGGAAGCCAATTTTTCTGTTCTAAATATTGTGTTTAAATTATGTGACTGGCAAGAGGAAAAGACAGTGTACACAAATAGAATATTTATTTAAAACAAGCCAGGTTGCATACTGTACCAAATACCACCAGTTTATGATTAAACAAAAATAAGTTTATACATAAAATTCTTTAACTTAACTTTTAAATGAAAAAAATATTAAATATTATTCATAGCATTTTGAATCAGAATTTCTAGGACAAGGATTTGGGATTCTTTAAAGATTTCTTTTTTTTTTCTTCACCTCCAATAAATGTCTTGTTTTGCAGGTTTTCTAATAATTGTCATTAAGAGGGAAGTGTTCGAGTGCCAAACTGGTGCCAGTGTTCACTTTGTTTCTTCCCATTTTGCTAGCTTGAAAAAAACACCCATACTGGTGCTCTCTAATCTTTGCATTCCAGTTCAACACGCAGTAATCCACACGCTTTAGCCGACAATTTCCAAATCCGTTTGTGGGTTTTATTGTTCTTTAAAATCATCCTTAAAGGCAAAGCCCTGTGCAAGATCCAACAGAATTGACTCCTTTTGTCCTGTCAGGATGTCCTGTCATTTCACCTCCAGGCTATGTGAGGTAAACCTGAAACTCAAAGCATCAGACGGAGGGAATACATGCAAACTTTAAATGGTTTCTCATATCAAAACAGTGAAAGTGTCACTCAGAGCTGTCAGCTTAACAAATGAGCTGCAAAGCCAACCGATGACACATCGCACATCTTCCTTTGATACACTAATAAATCTGGTCATATCAGCTTGAAACTTTTCCCTTTCAAAACAAGATGTTGCCTTGATATTTACAGGCCAGCCCCTGATTTCCACAAGTCTGCTGCAAACAGATTCCCTTTCAAGGAAGCAACTCCGGCCGCTGCTTTTGTCCCAGGCCAAGTGTTTAATTGATGGCTGCAGACAGCGGAAACCTCGTTAGGACTCAGACTTGTCGAGGATGAAAGAGAAACGCCCATTTGCTGCATTTTATGCAGCCAGACGGGTGAAACCGCAGCAAACAACGACAGAACTGCATCTCGTCTTCTCCAAAATCCCCAAACATCGTTTGTGGAGGATAGTAAACGCTGTCAGTTTCCCCTGCAGCCCAGGCATCAAAGTGCAAAAGACTTGCTGTCCCTCAAGACGACAGCGGTTGTTGTTGGATAAACAAGATGAAAACGAAACGTCCTTTTCATTCCTCTCGGGGGGGAAATGGGCTTTCTGAAATAATCAACAACTATGTGGGACATTCTACAAACTCATAGGCAAGTCGCAATAAGCAATAAGTAAATTGATCACAGGATAAATTAAAACCAGCTCAGAAATGTTCATTTATATGATTTATCTTTTTTTTGTTTTCTCTCGCTCTAACAAAAACTGGATGATAAATCTTCAATCTGGTGCTCTGGTTTCAGCCAGCCCATTTTTTGAAGAATAATTTTATTTATAAAAAATTTCACAATTTATTTCATTTGTTGTTTCTGTTTTATTTATTTGGGGTTTTTGAAATGCCTTGTAATTCCAGTGTTAAATGTTCCTTCGAATTTAAAGTTTATTGATCTTTGGGAATGTGTTCTTGTATTATTATGCCATTGCTGGAAAATGGTCTTAAAATAACAATATTATTGTTTACCGTAGTAACTCCTGGGACAATTTATTGCCATTAAATTTCTCTGATTTCTATTGATTAATATTTTTGGGCTTTTGAAGGTTTCATTTTTGGAACATCTGGATTTTTTTTTCACCATTGCACTTCTTGAGTGATGTCTGCACACTCAGGGCGACCATCTTGTTTCACCAACATATTTTTCAACTTTTATTTATTTGGACTTTGAATTAAGGTCAAATCTACAAGTAATAATTAAGGCTAGGTTATGATTATATTTTTTTAATTTTGAGGATTGAGTCATTATGTCAGAATAAAGTCATAATATTAGGAGAACAAATTTGTAATTTTATGAGAACGACAAGAAAAATGATAAAAAATTGAGCATCTTGTGAAGTTATACTTTGGTAGTGGGTGTACAAATAAAAAAAATACTTTTACACGTCAGCATCAAATGATCAGCAACAGGACTTTGAAACAATGGAGTATTTTGAAGAAAGAAACATAGAGACTTTGTTGGTCACTTCAAATCTTGATGACTCTAGAAGCTTTATTCTCATTAGAATGACATTTTTTCAGAGCTCAGCAACCCAAGCTGAGCTCTGGCACATTTGGTTGTCTGGGTTTACCTCAGTATGCGCTGTACAGTGGCTGCTGGAAAAGAGAAGTGTTTTGTTGTTGACTTACCATCCTTAAGTCACTTCTGTTGCATGTGAATATGAATGTTGAGTTGGGTTGGGGGGCGTGGCCAGCAGCACATTATTTGGATTTAAAGTGAAAGAGTCATAAAACAGCTCATTCTGAAAGGAGTCAGAACGGAGCAGACTGAAATCTCGTAATCTTAGAATGATTTTGTGCAAAAGATCTGATGAACATGTATTGTGTCAATACTGATACTCTGTCATATAACTTGCAGAAGTAGTCATTTAATTTAGTCACTTTTCAAAAGTAATTTTGTAATTTGCAATTTCTTTAGTTTTAAAAAAAGTGAGAAAAATAATCGATTGGAAAAAATCTGAGGTTTTATTTTGAAGCCATATCGGCCAGTCCTAAAATGCAGGACATTCTGTGAATTCCTTTGAATTTGGGACCGGCTTTTAATGACCCACGAAAATGCGAGACAGATGCGGTGTGCAGCGGCGGGACCTTCAGGCCCAAAGTGACTGCTAACCCTGTTGAGTCAGAAACGTATCCACCCGAACCCTTGGGACGGACAGGTTTTGTCTCCCATGTCCTTACAACGAGGACATGGGAGACAGCAATCATTTGAATTATTTATGACGTCTTTTTATTGTTCTGGACCCCTCTCTGACTCTGGACCCCTCCCCCATATGTCAAAATATCTGAATGCCCCAAAAGCAGGACAGCTGCACTGAGCTCCACATCCCAAAACAATCTCGCTTTCACGCTATTTTAATGCTTCCAGGTTTATTCTGCATGTTTGGCTGTTTGACATTTGTCTTCAGTATCTACAAATCAGCTTAAAGTAAATCTTTATTTTCACTTAAGCCCAGCAGCTTGGCTTTATAGGCTGCAATTTTAGAAAAAGACCAAAATGTTAATGTGTTTGTTCTGTGTGCAGCTGCAGGGAGACTGCATATTAAAGTATAAATAGCTGATTCTCTCAGGTCTGTTCCTATCTTTTCTTTCACTCCTCTTTGTAGATTCACAAACAGTGGACCTGATACATGTGACTCACCTGAATACATATTATCATACCATGCCTTGCAAAATTATTCAAATGCCTTGGATTTTCTTTTTTGCCTGTTTTTCACCTGCAGATGGAACTGCATGTAATACTTGAAAATAAATATCCTTCACTGTCCCACATTCTGTAAATTCAGGTGCACCAGCAGCAAAGGAAGCAGGCAGGTTTAAATGAAGGTGAAAAAAATAGGGTCGGTAATTAATCAATTAGATTTTTGTCACTTAGAGAACTCTCCTGTTCAGCAACAACTTCCTGCATAAGGTGGAAAACATTGGGTGTATTCACGCGATTCCTGTTCAGTCCGCTTTAATCCAAATCCAGTCCATGTGCCTAGAAACTCTGGTTCGTTTGATGAATGCTAATCATTCAATCCTTCAACCAACAGTCTGCCTACAAATCTTGGTTTGGTTGAAGTGAACTCTGGTGCTGTTTCGCTTATATGAACACCAAGCAGACAGGAGAGCGCTCCAAAATCAGGACTGGATTACAGCACAGGTAATCCATGCTAGCAGGAGAAATGCTTCAAAAAAGACAAAAGAAATTGCGCAGCCGCTAAAATCTGACACTATCCCATTTTTGTTTACATGTCGTGAAGAAGAAAGTTGGACCTACCGGAGATCTTCTTTTTTCTTCTGAGATTTTTGTGTCGTTTCCTTCAGTGATTCTTGATATAGTGCCTCTATGGGTGAGGAAGGGAATAGGTTTTACGAAGGATTTGGTTCATTTGACACAGTGCAGTGTGAAAGCGAATCTCACCAGGAGAAAATGTAACAAATCTTGCAACTGTTGTCTCCAATCAAACTACACCTAGAGGAAAATGATCTAAGAAATAATCTAAAAAGTGCAACAGTAGTGATGTTTTAATCAGTCCTTCTGTCTGCCTCCACCCTCATTGGTTCAAGGTGAAATTAAGAGCTTTATTTGTAAAAACAACAAAAAAAAAAATCAAATAAAACATGTAAACTTATGCAGTTTTGTTTTACATCTAATAACCTTAAATCGTGATTATAATATGAAAATATGTATTATTTTATTTAAGCAGAAGTTTTTCACCTCTGCCTGATCGACTGTCACTTTGAGAATATGATTTCAGCTGCGAAGTTATTCCCCAGGAGGTCACTTAACATTTTGGAGCTGTTGAGTCTGTGCAGCATTAAATGATAAGATGACCTGCTGTCAAGCACTCAAACCTGTCTTCGGTCAGGCTGCGTTAAGACTAGCTGCTCTGCTTCTTGTTCCTGCTGAGAGGATGAGCTCTCACAGTATATGGTCTCTCACCCATAAACAAAGCCCACCTTCTCATCGGCTTGAACAAAGTCAACCAATGTCCTATATTTGCACACAGAGACCCCTCCCAACCCTCACAGATTGTGTTTGAGTTTTCTCTTGGTTTCCAGGGAATCCTGCTGGTGTTAAAAGCAAACATTTATCAGCCTGAAAACTAACCACAGAGCTTGCCTCATTTACAGCAGATTTCCTTCAAGCTTTTTCAGTGAAACGTTCCCGCTCTGGTGCGTCATTATTGCTTCATATTAGAGGCACATTTTGCCACATGTTTTTAGAGTTTAAATCATCTTTGCTGTCAAATGAGCATTTCATTTTTTCAAAGACTAAACTGGTGGGAAGTATGGGAGTAGTTGAAGTTAGGCAACTGTTAGCTATGGGTGGCTTTGAGTGTCCTAAAAGTCACATTATAAATTTCATGTATTAATATTATTATTAAGGACAAGTTATGCAGGCATACACCAGAACTGTACTAGACAAAAATTGAAATATTTCTTATGTTTTGGCCTTTCATCCATGTAAAAACTCTGCTTGATATTACTAAAAATTATAATTGATGAAAAATCGGACAAAAGGGCAAATTTGTGAAAACTGTATTTGTGTTTGTGTGTGTTCATAGGAAAACTGAGATTTAGGATGCCACACATTAGTCTGTGACAAATAATGCACCAATATATCCACATACTAGTTTTTGAAATTATTTGCAATAAGCATTGTCTTGTGTGTTAATGACTTTATATTCTAATGTTCTACTTAAAGTTGTTCAACCTGTATATCTGTCCATGCAAATTATGTTTAATGCCTAACAGGAAGCTTTGGCTTTGAGCTACTCTGCCCCCTATGGGTTTGGCATGTTTACAACAACGATCAGGGGCAAATTGTGTGAGTTCATGTTGATAAAAACTTTTCAGAAAATAATCCCATATGTACGACATTATTTTTCTACAGACTTGGCTACATGTAGAAAAGCACTTAAAAAGATGACATTTTTGCATGTCAGAGAGCTGGACACTCCATCCATCAACATTTTTTACCACCATGTCCCACTTGCTGACATGAAAAGTCTGCATTTTAAAGAAAAAAGATTAATCAATTAATCGTTAGGTTAATTGATAACTCAAATAATGTCCCACTTGCTAAAGTGGGACATGGTGGTAACAGGTGTAGGCAGAAACATCATTGTGGTTCTAAAACTACTTGCCGAAAAGTTTCTTGTAAGTTAGTTTTTTTCTTAGTTAAGTGTACTCAGATATTTGCACCAAAATAGTTGGTGCTGTTTTACTGTTGCAGCTAGATCACCACAACATAATTGTTAGGAAAATTATTAGAAATTAAACATATATCTTGAATGTAACATGTTTTGGCATTTTTTAACTTTCCCCAACAATCACCTTTAAAAAAGATTCTGGTAACAGTGAGGTTTTCTTTCTCTCAGTTCAAAAATACTTGGTAAGGTATTGTGTTTCTGCAAAAAAAAAAAAAAAAAAAAAAACTAACACTGTAACATTTCAGTGTGTGGAGCAGATTTATTTTCTAAATCAGAACTTTAAGGTGTCATCTGCATAGTCTTATGCACCACATGCCCAGACTGCACAGATGTTTTCCATGCATGGCTGACTCAACACGTGAGTCCGAACATCCGTCATGTTATTAAACGGAAAACAAATCGACCTCGTTTGACTCTTTTTCTTCTTCTGCAGTTCCAGGAGCTCCAAGTTGACCGGGAGATGCAGCTGACCTCCAACCGCAGCCTGGCCGAGGAGAGCCTGGCTCGGCGACCCCGCCTCAACAACGGCAAACTCCAACTGGCAGAGAAGTACAAGGAGCTGTCCAACCTCGTAACCACATGCTGGGAAAAACAGAGTCAGCTGGGTGAGTTTGCCTCGCTGGAGAGGAGACACAGATTTAGAGATGGGGAGGGATAGGTTGATGTGGTTCAGGTTTCATGCAGCTGAAATATCAGTGATGGCAAGGTCACTGGTTTGTATCCAGGGCCGGATCGATAAACGCAGCCCTGCAGCCTTCAGCAGTCTGAAACGATTCAGTGGAAACAGCCAGAGAGATCAGTCAGAAAAGGTCGTGTCCGAAACACTTAAGGTCACAGCTAATTACACACAGTAACCCACAGCGGCTCCTCTGTGTCTTCCCTGGTAATGACAGGAAGACACCCAAACATGACTGCTGCAGTTACACATTGAAAGCAGTGCTGTGCTTTACAGCAGAGTTGTAGGGTCAGGGTAAGAAAAAATATGATCAAAAAAAATATGACTTTATTATGTTATTATCAGAATAAAGTCAGAATATTATGGGAATAAAGTAATAAAATTATGAGAATAAAGTCAAGATATTACAGTCATAATATTACCAGAACAAAGTTGTAGTAATGCAGGTTTAGTCATATTAAGGGAGTAAGGTCATGATAATAAGAGAATGTGAAAATAATGAGAACATTACAGGTAAAGCAGCATATCATATGCTGCTTTATGATATTAGCAGCATATTAATGCTGCATATGATATGCTGCTGTTATGCATGCTGCTGTTTCATGAAACAGCATGGAACAGCAGCATGCATCTAGACAGGAAAGATGAATGAACATCAAAGCCTTAGCAGTAGCTTTAATTTAATTAATTTGACTTTATTCTCATATTATCACTTTACTCTTCATTACAATTTAATTCTCAAAATATTATATTAGTGTTGTAAAATGACTTTATTCTTGTTGTTTATTTTCATATTATGACTTTATTTTCGCATTATTACAACTTTATGGTCGTAGGACTTTATCCGTCCATCCATTATTTTACATGCTTGTCCCTTATACGATCCTGATGGCTGCTGGTGCCCAACGGGCAAGAGGCGGGTCACCCTGAACAGGTTGCCAGGTGATGGGGCTGTATTCTTCCTGTATTGTAATGTTATTCATATAATATTAAGACTTTATGCTTCTATGATTTACTTTATTCTGGTGTGAATTTATTCTTGAAATATTATGACTTTATTCTCATTATTATTGCTTTGTTTCCACATTACTTCAACTTTTTTTCTTGTAATTTTCTGACTTCATTCTGGTAAGTTTATTCTTTTCTTAGCCTGGGCCTCACACTCTGTAGTGTTTACATCCCACTCAGCTCTCTGTCAGCCTCTTGGTTCAGGGACTGACGGCAGCTTCCCATCAGAGTGCAGAGAAACCTCTGAGTGTCACCGAGTCTCTGAGGTTTCTGCTCAGCGAAACCTCAGCATGACTGGAGTTCGGTCATGGGAACCAAATGGAGCATATCAAATGCCAGCAGGAAGCTTACAGCAGTTGTCAAGGAATTTGTGGGCTAAAAGACGGGGAGGGGGCGCCTTGCTTCTTTTTGTTTTGACTAGTTATTCCTTCTCAGACAATGTTTCTGCTCAACTCTAAACTGGGTAGAGAAGCTTTAAAGGTTCGTACATGGCAAGTCGAATCAGAAACATGTAATGAAGTCAGCGTTCGTTCCATAATGTCTTTTGCTGCTTCAAGTTCAAGTGTGGCGTAATGAAAAGGCCAGATTTCTGCCTCAGCTGCAGTGATGAAAGTTGGGTGGAATGCTGAACTTCCTGTCGATGTGCGCGTGGTGCACAGATGCTATCCCACCTCCCCGGCGAGGCAGGCAGGATGGGCGGGGGTCCGTCTTTGCGTCCTTCCTGCGCGTAACATCTGATTCTCATTTGGCTCTGCGAGCCGCTGGGGGGGCAGCAGGACGGGAAAGATGAATGAAGTAGCTTTTCTTGACGTAAACGTTCCCGGTGGAGACAAACTGAGGAGCAGATTGTTAGAGGTGACTGCTGTTTCACTAAGAAGGATCTGTGGACGGGAAACGCTACCAGAGCACTGCAAAAAACTAAATCTTACCAAATATTTTAGTCTAGTTACAAGTGAAAATCTCTTAGTTTTGTCTTATTTCAAGTGTATTATCTTACAAGTATGGTAACTTTTCAGCAAGAAATATGAGTTTTTTCAAAGTACGTAAGTCCTTAATATTGATAAAAAATGTACAAGATTATTTAACTTTTAGCAAAGCATTTTTCTCAAGTCATAGATCAGTGGTGTCCAAATTTTTAGTAATGGGGCCAAAACTGTCAAATTTAAACTATTGGAGGCCACAAAATGTATTTAATTATTGGTTATTTATTGTCATCTTTCTTCTTCTTTTTTTGTTTTGTTTTACCTACTTAATAATAAGTATCTAAAATAAACCAATAAAAAGGGGATTCAGAGTGTTTTCTTATTGAAAAAAAGAGCTTTTCTAAATGATCTGGCTCATCAATTGTTTTCTATTTTGTTGGCCAAATTTTCACCACTTTTGACTTGTGGTTGGGGGCCACACACAATGATATTAAGGCCCACAAATGGCCCCTAGGCTACACTTTGGACACCCTTGTTATAACTGAAATAATTTGGTTATTAAAGAATTATTGACTAAAAACAAGCAACTATAGCCTGCTGAAAAGTTAGGTTTGTCTTTTTTCAAGTCCAATAAAATATTAAGACTACTAACTAGACCGAAAATACTTGATAAGATGTCATGGCAGGGACTCCAGGTGGAGGAGAAACCTTGAACTGTCCTGGTTTTGAGTTTCTTTCTCTTAAACATTACAGCCATCAGGAGTTTACTTTCCTCCACTATTACCTTATAAAATAACTGATGGTGCAGTTTCTGTGACATGTTCTCTGCCGTTTGTGCTCATAAGAAAGGTCACAGAAATCTGAGAAGGCTGGTTCAGAAATCCTGTAATCTTAACAGCTTGAGTCCCTTAAGGATTTGGTTTGGAGCTGCAAATGTTTGCCGACTGATTCAGACGTGATCTGGACCAGGTGCTGACCTGAGGTTGGCAGGACTGGAGCAGCGAAACATCGCGTAAATCTTCAGATTATGGACAGATGTGGGATTAGTGGACGAACAGCATCATAAAGAAGGAGGAGCTCAGAAGATATGTCAGGGAGAACAGAGGTGAACTGATTAATCAGATTAGTTGTGATTAATCAATTATTGAAATAACTGTCTTATAATTTCGTATAGATTAATAGGTAACTGGGGTATACAGAGTCAAAATGGCCACAAAAGGGCTTGATAAAGTAATTAAGGTGCCGAATATTGCATCCAAAAATAAAAAAATAAGAACTTTTCTCATTTATTTAATAGTAGTGTAATGTAGATTATTTATTTCCATTTTTCAGTATTGATTTATATGGAAGAAGATTGGATCCTCTGTAAAAAACATTGATATGCTGACGTTTTTTTTTCTTTGAATTTTGACTTCAGTTCAAAATTCTGACTTTTTTTTTTTAAAGAATCTTGACTTTTTTCAGAATTCAAGTAAGAATTACTCTGGGTTCTGCAAAAAAGAACTTTCATAGATTAACATTTACAAAATTGGATGTAAATGTCTTTCCACCTTTGTCCTGAAGTCGGTCTGTTTTCCAGTTAAGCCTCAGAGGCTGACAGGTAAAGGTGACTCCATGTATATATATATTTGGCTATGCTATTTAAAACATAAAACACATTGATGTGTTGTCACCAGCCAGAGATCAGTGTTCTAAAGTTGGCAAAGTCTATTTTTGAGTAGTTAAAAAATAGCAAAGAGATGAAAATATGACAGCTGTCCCTGCTGTTTAAGGCAGCCGCAACAGGAAGTGTTTTGTTTTTGATAGTCTTCAAACTTGTACATGGCTTTACATCAAAAACTAATATATTTAATATATTTTTAATTGATCTCAACATACTATTTTCTCATATGTTTTTTCTGAATTTCCATTTACTCTTGAATGTTTTTTTTTTATGTAACTTTGGATGTCATCTTAACTCATTAGCAGGTGTAACTGTACACATATTGGTAGGAAAAATATTCAGTGCTTATGCTTATGTGCACATAGGTTTTTCATCTCGTATTGAAAATGTTTCCTGTTTCAAACAATTTTGTATTTTGTTATAACGAGATTCAGCTCTTGACTTTATTTCCTCGCTCTGGCAGTTAACCTCTTCCATATTTTAAGGTTTGTTCTTGTGTTAAAAGTGAAGCAGACAGTTTCAAATTACACGCCTCAATGCTGAATTCAGGCTCTTGTGTAAAACATTCAGGAACATTTACTCTTTATTTCTGCATGGCTCATCAGCTTAAGAGAAGTTTGAAGACCTTGAATGCATTTTTTATATTTAATGCGACAGCTCAAATGAAGGCATCAGGGTCATAATTACATAATGCTTTAAGTTGTAATTCTTAATGTTTCTCTGTAAATAAGAGGAACTCTTATTTTAGAATTGCAGGAGTTCATTTTATTATTGTTTTTCTACCTGATGACATGCCTTTTTCACCCTAAAGCAATTAGAATTGTATTTAAAAATCCAGCACACTCATTGTCCCAGAGGCTGGAACAGCACAAGCTCAGCTCCCCTTTAGGCCTTTAATGCAGTAAACTGAAAACGCTGTGTGATTGCAGGAGTAGTTGCATTTAAAAAAAGCAGTGAACTGTTACTACTGAATACAAAATGCATCGCATTAAAGGGTTCTGCATGATTTATACAGTCTTTGGGTGTGCTGCATCTGAGCTCCCACACTCGACAACTCATCCTTTACAATCTTGTTCAATAATGTGCTGAAAAGGTGTTTTAACAGTCTGTTCACAATAAAAGAGTTTCAAGTCATTTCTCATGAGGCATTCAGGACCATTTGTTCCTCGTTGTCAGTGATTGATGAGCTCTCTACATTTGGATGGCAGTGACTCTTCTTTCACATTATCTCCTTAAAACACTCACCGTGTTGCTCTTGTCATTCTGCTCATAGTGACACTCCCTGTTGCTTTTTTTTTTATAGAAAACTTAATTGTGTTTGATCATCCTCAAACC